CTACGGCCTAAAGAAAAACATAACAATGTGTGTGGCGGACGAATTACACCATATTTTGGGCCGTGACAATGCCTACGGATCAGTGGAAGTGGCTCAAGTCAAGATTGAGATCGTTTTAATAGGAAAAAAACGCACAATTCGTTTTGTATGTTACATTTAACTAAGTAACAGTGGCCACACCTTGACTTAAGTAGTGTATAACCTAATCACCATCATCATCTAAAAGTACCACCCTGTATTACTGTGTTTTTTTTATCCTTTTGAGATAACACATTAAGAAAGTCGTCTTCAAATTCTCCAACTGACAACCGGCGAGCCTAATAAAACCTTGTTACTCCAATAGGCATTAATTTAGCTACTCATTTTATGTGTAGAAAATTTCAGCATCTGATATAATAAATCAGCACTTTCCTAAGTACAAGAGATCGTTAGTTCAAATAGTTATTAAATCGGATAAAGAAAGTTACACTATTAACTTCAAATTAAAGTACGTGAGATGGATTAATTCAAACGAGTTACAATTCTAATTTTTGTACCATAATGTCATCGGCAAATCTCGATTTGCGTACCATAATGATATTGCAAAAGCGGACTTACATTTCTAGAGTAATTTGAGGACGCTAATGCGCATAAACGAGAAGTATCATCCTGCGTGCAGAAATTTGACCTGCAAATAAAATCCCGGCAAGCAGTGCGATCAATCAGCAGAAATATAATCAAACTTTTCGTTTTCGTATGTATTTCTTATTTTTCCAGATTTAATTTAATCCCACCTTGAATTAATTTCTCCCTGCACGATGTTGATTGTTTCTAGCCTTCTTTTCTTTTCTTTTTTTCTTGTTCGCTACCTAATGTAGATGCTAAATAATAATAATAATAACAAAGATAATTATAATAATAACAACAACAACACAATAACAACAATAATAATATAAAGAAAGAAAGAAAAGTACCGATGGAGACTAGGATGAAATATTTTTTAATATTAAAAAGAGCATCGTTTGCAAAAAAAGGTAGAGGTGACGTTGTGCCTTAATTTCAACTATTCAACTATTTTAATCATATTTCCATCATTTAGATGTCTTCACTTATTAGATGCAAGGACAACAATTGTCCTTTATTATCCCATCGGTTGAGGCACTTCATTTCGGAATAAGACGCGCTTTGCCCTTTATATTCATTTTCACCCCTAACCTCTGGTGTCTTATTTTTTTTTACTTTCTTTTTAACTTAATAAAGTATAAGCTCTAGATTTTCATTTAATTGTCTGCACAGGTCTTGTAATGCAGGAATACAAAAACAGAGTAATAACCGTGCCGATAATTTATTAATGAAATTTGAAATAATGAAATTGATATTTGCGTTTCGTTCAAAACCTTGATCCCCAATTTCTTTTCTCCTTTTCTCGTCGATATAGCTCAGGACAAGGAAAAAAAAAATAATTAAACATTCTTGTACCATGATTTTCACGATGATGTATACATGTGCAAGTCTCGTGCCCCCAATTTGAAGGCCATTGTGTGTGTTCTTTTTTCGTGCAAAAGTTTATTCTTTGTAATTGATGATAGTGGTTTGAAATTTGAATTGTTCTTGTATTCATACACATTCTCCAAACTTTTGTGAGCAAATGAATAAATCTTCTTTGTGGCAAAAGGAAAAAGAAAAATTAAGGCAAATTCCGCATGACAAAGTATGCAAAGATCTCTGATCAACGTTTTGCGAGTCTTACACTCAATTATCTTAATTCCCATCTTCGTCTAATCTGGATAATTTTCCTCATGGATTATGATCGAGAACAAATCGAATGTCATGATTAACAATACTCCTTACGTCCTAGAAAATTAATCTACATTACAAAGTGTGATTTTATATGTTTTTAGTACAAATTATAAATTACTACATTGCAGTTTTAACTAATTAGATCAAAAAAGTCTATCACTCTGAAGCCTCCTCCTCTCTCTACCCGGCCACACCAATTCAACCTCCCTAACGACTTTTTTTCGCACAAATTTTAGGATCTAATCCAAAAATTATACAAAATAATTCGGCAAAAAAACAAACCTTCACCCCAATTGTAATCCAATCAGAACCAACCATTTTCAAGTGAGAGACAACTTTTCTTCTTACAAAAGAATGGCAACCCCGTTTCAACTTGTCCTTGTCAGAAAATTTACCAAAGGCCGGCCAAAAATGGGTTTTTTGAGGAAAGAATTCCAAACAATTGGCTTCAAAGAAGACTTCTCACTTGGAATGATCGATCACTAACATGTCTTCATCTGTTTTGATCTTGAGGAAGATTATCATCGCCACTGATTAAAAGGTCTATGAATCTTTGACAAATACCGGACTGGAGTTCCCAAATGGACCACGGATTTCAACCCGTCACATGAAAGATCCATAGTCTCGGTTTGGATTTCTTTTGAAGGTCTCCCCATTCATCGCTTTAACAAAGACTATTTGTGGAAGTTTGCTTGTATCATTGGAACGCCTCTTCAAATTGATGTTCCAATCCTCAATATGTTACGTCCTTCGGTGGCACGAGTTTGTGTTGAGATTGATCTTCTTAAAGATCATCCCATCCGAATCTAATTGGGGTTGAAAGAAAATTCTATTTTCAAGCAGTCCTTTATGAAAATATGCCTCTATATTGTGTTGATTGCAAAAAGATTGGGCATGATCTCAATTCTTGTCGACAGAATAAGGCAGCGGCGACACTACAAAAGTTTGATTCATTGGATTCTTCTAAGCCGCAATCTAACAAGCAAACATTACAAAAAACGGAGTAGAAAAATGGAGCCCTCCTCCTACTGTCTTACAGCTTCCGATTGAAGTCGCCACTGTCGATGCGATTCCGGCAGTTGCGAAACCACTATTGCAAAACATGGTGGCTGAAGCACATTCGCCCCTTTCTGATTAACAAAGCATGAATCAACACGGTGCTTTAGGACGGGCGGCGATGATGATCAAGGCGATGGCGGACGGCTTAAAACTTGTAAGACAGAGCCTCGGGTGTCTCCCGAGGGTAGACTCTCCGATACTTACGTCAATAAGGGAATAGAGAGAACAGAGGGAGAGGTGGTTGTGCGTGTGTATGAGGTGTAGAAGATATGTAGAAGATATGAAATATGAGAGAGGCACCGCCTCTTTTTGTAGAGGTTGTGTTACCTGTTTCCTTAAACCTAGTCAAAATAGGTTTAGGAGGTGACCTTTAAGTAATCTAACCCTAGGCCCAATAAGACTAGGTTCAATCTGGACTCGTCAAGTGTCCCTAGCAAGTCATATTCTCGAGACTTGGTGAGAAGAATATGGGTTGCTACAAGTGTTGATGTCTTTTCGAGTTTCGTGGTGTTGCCCCAGTTCTCGATCTCTTTCGTTCTCGGGTGGCACCTATATAAGATAAAGAGAGTAGAATGTCTTGACGAGATCTTTGTGTTAGTAAATTCCTAGGAGGGGGAAGCTTATATATGCCGTATTAGGAACATGACGCCTAGATTCCGAATTGGGTTGATGGCACCTGGATACCGAATTGGGAGGATGGCGCCTGGATTTCCTTTTTTCAATGGAGGAACCCTCTACATTTGGATGTTCGAGATGCGATATTAAATGTAATAATGTAATGACTAATAATAATAAGATGATCATGAGGAATATTAGTTCAAGCAGATTATGTTAGGATGATCTCTCAAGTTCCTTGCCCCTAGGGTATTTTCCAGTTTATGCCCCGTGTACGTTTTCCTCGTTGAAGGCAGCCCCGAGGTGATTTTCGTCATTGCAGGGTGATGGGAATTTTCCCTAGAGGTTTGGTTCCTCGAAAGATTCCTTTGATCGCGCTTAAAAAAGATATTGTGATATAATAGTAGTAATATGCTAATGGTATCAATAGTAGATAAACATAGATTCAAGAAGCATATTAGAAAAGTTTGAGAAGTACCTCGATCTCGAGATAAATTGATTATTCGTGAAGGTGTTACCTCGATTACGAGAAGATAGTAGTTGAATAGATGAAAGTCGAGATACATCTTCTCGAACACTTCGAGTAGTAGTATAGTGCTCGAAGGATGTTTGCCCCTTCGAGGAGATGTATCTCTCGAAACATTAATTTCAGAGATTGCCCCTTGATTTGAGCTTCAAAGAGTTAATCGTCGGCACTCTGGTCTGCTAGAAGGCATTGACTTGGAAGTCGCCAGAACTGTTGTTGACTTGATCGTAGATGGGAGAGCGTTAACGCGGAAGTCGATGAATGTCACTTCGCATGATTTCCAAATTCTTGATTTTGACCTTTGCGCACATGGATTTGCAGATCATGTCAACCTAATTATCACCATGAAGAACCAACAAATTTCGGCTTCTTTTCAAGAAATTTATTTGGTTGTGAAAACCAAACGAATCGGTCCTACTGGGCGTGCCACTTGACGAAACATGAATCAGCACGGTGCTTTAGGACGGGCAGTAATGATGATCTAGGCGGTGGTGGACATCCTAAAACCTGCAAGACAGAGCCTCGGGTGTCTCTCGAGGGTAGACTCTCTGATTTTTAAGTCAATAAGGGAATAGAGAGAATAGAGGGAGAGGTAGTTGTGCGTGTGTATGAGGTGTAGAAGATAGGTATAATATATGAATTATGAGAGAGGCACCACTTCCTTATATAGAGGGGGTGTTACATGTTCCTTAAACCTAGTCGGAATAGGTTTTAAGTGGTGACTTATCCTTTAAGTAATCAAACCCTAGGCTTAAAGGACTAGGTTCAATCCGGACGTGTCACTAATGATGCTCTACTATTCGGGCAATCAATTGATGTTGATGATGTTGCGCACACAATTGCTTATCTTGCAGCCTCTGCTGAAGAAACAAATCAACGAGCCCTCACTATGTTGCCGCGGTTGGAAGCTGAAGATGTCGCTACCACGACAGAAACCTTAGACTCACCCCCCTGCGGAAAGTCCACCACGCCGGAAATGTGAATCTCGAACGGAGAAGAATCGACATCGGGATTGACAACGATGGAGAAAATTTGCATACCAGTGGACGTTATCGACAACCCACCATTTCCCATAATCTCTGAAAAAATGTCGGATAAAGAATCTCTGCTGCCTGTTGGCGTCGATGATGAAACAGTGTTGCCACTGCTTCAAGTCTTTGACGCTGTTGCTGCCTCAATTGCCATTGGTGCCCCAACGTCAGAGGGGGATAAATCAACTCCAGAGAGTATGAATAACCGGCAGCAGCCGCCGGAGTTCACAGAAGGAAAAGAAATTCCGACATTGGAGCATTCAAGTTCGCAACGGCGCACCGCGTCAGCCGAGTCTGTTGCCGATCAATGGAACGTAAATCGCTCTCCCAATATGATCCGATTCTTTCTGTTTGAAAGGAAGATGAGTTGAAGTCAAAGTCTCCACAATTTTCTCCTTTAGATAATGAAGTAATTTTTTCTAAAAATAGCTCCAAAAACGGCTCTGTAAAAAAGTTAAATCCTGCTGCTCCGGAATTTTCTTGTCCTCCTAGTCAACAAATCCCACTTCTCCAGGTCTTGCTTCCAATTTCAGGCCCAATCTCTGATAGGAACAATTACCAATTCTTCTCCAAAGACGGTACGGACATAGAGAAGCATACAGTGTCTTTTAACCCAAGTTATTCGATTGAAGAAATACATTCCGAAGACGGCCAAAATCATGCTTCCAATGGTTCTGATGATAAAGATTTTGATATGGAATATGCAATGGAACAAGAGTGCTTTTACAGTAAAGTTTCTACTCCAACATATCACAATTGATCAAAAATATTCAAGGCTAAAAAGAAAGTTCAAGTTCATCGGTCTACTAGATTGAACAACGATTCAACTTTACTTTAAGATCAAAATTGTATTTGATATAGGGTCTAGTGTATTCGCTACCTTATTTTTTTCTTTTCTTTATTATTAATAAAAAAAATTTTGTTAAAAAAAATAACTAATTAAAAAAATAAATTACCATGAACCATTTTGTCGAATCAAGTGAGTATTATTAGGGAACATAGTGAAATATTTTTTAAGTTTTACGAGATCATAATTCCGAGGCCCTCTAAACTCTCTCTTCTATTCCTCCTATGGCCAACGACGGATCACTGGTCATTGGCCCTACACCACCAACTAAACATCCTCAAAAGACCTCCTTTGCTCATATTCTAGGATCTGGGACAAATCCAAAAACCATACATGAACATTCAACCAAAAAATCACATTCACCTGTGATACACTCATAACCAACTTTCTTTAAAAGCGAGCCAACCTTTCTTCTTACAAAAAAAAGAAGATGATCAATTGGCTGCCCCTTTCCGCTTGGCTCTCGTTGGAAAATTCACAAAAGGCCGGCCAAATATGGAGGTTTTGCGAAGAGAATTCCAGACTATTGGCTTCAAAGGAAACTTCTCCCTCGACTCGATTTACTATCGACATATCCTAATCTGCTTTGACTTAGAAGAAGATTTTCAACGCTGCTAGCTTAGAGGTATATGGACTTTTGATACGCATCGGATGAGAGTCCTAAAGTGGACCACCGACTTCATTCCCGCCCATGAAAGTTCTATTGTTCCAGTTTGGATCTCTTTGGAAGGTTTCTCCATTCATCGTTTCAAAAAGGAATATTTATGGAAATTAGCTAGCGTCATTGGAACACCTCGCAAATTGATGTCCCAACACTCAACATGTCACGTCTATCTGTGGCACGAGTCTGTGTAGAATTGGATCTTCTCAAGGATTATCCTATTCGAATCAGGCTGAGCGTTGAAGGCGAAACTTATTTTCAATCCATTTTTTATGAAAATATGGCACAATATTGTGTTCAATGCAAGAAGATTGGATAGGATCTTCATTCCTGTCGACATACTACAAAGGCATCATCTATGCAAAAGCTTCAACAATCAAAACAACAATCAAAAGAGAAGGAAGTAGCCGTGCAAGATTTGAACTGTAAGAGTACCGGGAACTTCACTCACAATTTCAAGCAATGATCGCGCGAGACGATTAAAAAAGCCATAACATTTTCATCTTTGTATTTTTTTTCACGTATTTCTACCAACTTTAACTTTGTAACCGTAGTTTAAATAATATTCTCATATTTTTATTTCTGAAAAAAAAATCAAATATTGCAACGGTAGAACCCATATATTTACATGGTTCTGAATTCTCATGTATATTTTTTTAAAAAAAAATGTAATATTGCAACGGTTACATAGTTAGTCAACTAATAATTTTAACAATTGGATTTCGACGTGTATATTTAGTCATCGAATTTAGGTTCAACCATGTGTTACTACTCTCTGACTTTTCAAATTCAATTTTTTTTTCAAAGTTGTGGACCTATTAAAAATGGGTAAATTCATGAGTTTCTATGCAGATGCCAAATCGAGGTTCATATATAAGTTTATCATAACAAGCCCTTTAAGGGTGCATGTATGTAAAACTAGAGATAACTCTGACTCTTTTCAATCAAAGGATTTAACTCAAAACTTTCTCTCAAAAGCAGAGGTAATTTTATAATTAGTCAACAGACCCAACAACTTATTAATAATTCAAATTAATTTGAAAAGAAACAAAAGTATTTGATCGTTTGGTTCTAAATTTTTTTTCCCCTGAAAATCTTCCTCGTGGCTTTTTCCGTACACGATGGTCCTTTACCTTCTTTTTTATTTTTTTCTTATGAAGAGTTTTCACTTCATTACGATAGACATTTGAACGTAATATATGTTGGAAAGAAAAGATGGGAAAGAGAGATATAGAACATGAAAAGTCTACTACTTTATTGCTTGATATAAAATGAATACAATTTTAAGTCATATAAATAGACTTTCAAACAAACCGAATAACTAAATTATAGGAAACAAAGATACCAATCCATGATTCCACTAATGATATAATCAGATAAGATACTCTACTAATAACTCCAAAGACTAGTTAAAATATTAATCAAATCTCAACTAAGAATCATATCTCAACACTCCCCCTTGATTCATAGTTGCAGACACCCAATAATCCTCTAAAGTAGCAAAACTTCTGATTTGATAAAGCCTTTCTAAATGTCAGCTAGCTGCTCCTCGGTGCCACAATACTGCAAGACTATTTCTCCATTTGCAACAAGATCACGAATGAAATGATGACGCAACTCAATGTGCTTTTTTCTACTGTGAAAAGTTGGATTTTTGGTCATGGAAATAGTTGAGTTGTTGTCACAAAATATCTCCGTAGCAGCCACCACCAGAAAGTATCGACAAATCTTTATATTCCTCAATAGCAGCCACCACATGATAAAATTTTGGAATCAAACTTCACAAAATTTTGGCAACAATTGTCTCATTAGAAACGATTTCACCATATGATTGCATTTGGCTAACAATTGCAATTGCTTTTGTCATTTCTCTTTTCTTAATTGACAATTGCAGGAAAAAGTTTGTGTAATGCAACTGGAAGGTTTCTTGAAGGATGGTGAAGAAAACAAGGTCTACAAGTTGAAAAAGGTATTGTACGGATTGAAGCAAGCTCCACGATGACTTTCGAGCTACCTTGAAACTCTTTCTAGAGAATTGACTATGCTTGCTTTGGCATCCATCTTCCTCACCTCTTTCATCCTTGTCTCCTCTTCATCCTCATCAGCTTCAATCATGTATATGAACCCATATTCCACAAATTCCTAGAGCTCCTGCGATTTGAGCAAATTTTTCATCTTGATGCTCCACCACTGATACTTTTCACCATTGAAAATGGGTATGGGGATTTGAGACGAAGAAGGCACAATGCTTGCCTTAAAAAAAAAAAAAACTCACGTATATTACTTTCTAACACAAAATAAACACACTCTATATCTCAATTCCCTGGAATAAACCCAGCTCTTTGATACCAACTAGTATGTACCTAGCGAGCAATGCACAGAAGGATTAGATATTATTGTGTTAAAATATTACATCATATAATCGCTAATTAAAATATAGAGATTATGAAACTACCAATCTTAATAAATATTCTAAAAAATACAAAAAAAAAAGAAAAAATCAAAAGGATAAAGTAACAAAACTGTATGATTTTGTTGTTCATTTTATGTTTTACCCTAAAAGACTAGAAAAAGGGTTGTTCACTATGCAAAACACAAGGTATTACTGTTTGGATGCGTTGCTAAATGTATTGGAATGGATTTTCTTAGATATTCACCCATAATATTTCCATCAATGTATTTAGTAATAAAATGTACTCATGTAAAAACATATGCATAGAAAAAAAAGGTAAAAAAAAAATTCCATTTGAGTTGGCTCCACGGATAAATTAAAAAAAGCAGAGATAGTCTTTTTATTCAAAAGAAAAGGGAAAAAAACAATATAAAAATCTTAACTTATATGTTTTGCTTGGAAATAACTGAGCCTTAAAAGATCTATATAATTAATTTATATTCGAAATCATATGAGCAAGATATATTTTTAAATTTTAGAAAACCTGCATAACCAAACTTGCATTCATTTTTTTCAAACTTCATCATCAAGCTGGCATCGATCGGAAGCCTAAATGTATCAAGACATGACTTAACACAATCAATATTAATAATGATATAATTTGTCGTATTAATAATGATATGATTTATGCAAGCCATTTGGAAAAAAAAAATAGTACTTAAGCATGTAATCCAATTTGGCCATCGAAATTTGGACATGTTTCCGCATGATGCAAACCTAGTTAAAATCGAATGATGATGATGACGATGCTGCAACAAAGATGATTAATGGCTCTAGCAGCAACAAGAAAGACAAGTAGGGTGGTGATGAATTTCATGAAGATGGACGTCAGCGTGATTGATATTTGATGAGTTATTTTCCTTTCATCTAATCTATTAAGACATAATATAATTAGAACTGTTAATTTCTGACACGCTCCTTGAAACAGACATGAAATAAATAGGGCCACGGTTTGTATTTATGACCTAAATAATAAGTTGGTTGAAGTGGACCTAACATGTTTACTAAATAGGTTGGGTTCGGGTCAAACCGTCAGATTTCATGGATCACCCGATTATCTGACTAATTAGTAATTTTTTCAAGTTTCTATGGATTTTTTAATGTAATTTTCCTATCAAATAAACCATATCATATAATTACTCCCATTTTGGCGTTACCCATTTTTCGCCACCCTTTTTCTCTTATTAATGTCAGCCCCTTCTTCAACTTCATCTCATAATCCTTATTTTCCTCGTAATCTTCCCCTAGTTCTTCTTTTTTATTCGTCTTTTGACAATAAATTATGATAGTGTTGTAACAATGGTGGAGGAGCAATTGTCTACATAAAATCTCTCAGATCTTATGAAGATTTTGGCGGTTGGCAGCATCTGTGTTTGGAAGTGAGGATTTTGGAATTGGGTTTAGCGATCAACAACCTAAAGCAGCCTTAGTCGCCATCTTCATTAAAAAGTTTTGCCTATATCAGCTCTAGCTACTATATATGAAGAAACCTATGCTGCAATTCAGAGTGAGTCGAATCTAGGTAACTGGATGTAATTTTTACATATTTTCGATAAGTTTGTTCAATAGATTTGATATTGTTTTGGTTTATAGAATTGATCACATCTAAAAAAAATGTGGCTTTTGATTATGAGTGCTGAGGAACAACCGGAAAAGTTCAATTTACATAAATGCCAAACTTAATGATTGTTTTTGAATTTCAAAGTGAGTTGTTTTAATAAGAGTCTATCCTACCGGAAATTTTTATATAATAAATTAATTAAAAGTAATTCAAATAAATAAAAAAGTTTATTTCATGTA